TAAAATTTGACCAATAAAATGGTATAAATAACTCACCGACATTTCCATACAATTGCCAAATCATACAGATACATTTTTATTATATTTCGATCATATAGCTCATAATGTGACATTGATCCATTTGCATACAATATATTAAAATGGTAACAAAAAATATGCTTGGTTTTTATTTTTCGGTCATTTGTGAAAAAAATGTATAACATTCGCCTACCATAATTTGCATTTATAATCTTTGAAATCTATCTCGTCGACGATAATAAGTGTGTCATAAGCACAAGCTAATATACCTCAAGCCTTGCAAATGCATTCATTTTTAGCACCATTTAAAACTATTCGCTCTTTCTTTCATCGCACAAACATTAGAAATACTTGCGTTTCAATTATCATCATTACTTCGTGAGCAGTTACAGTAGCCGTTTATATCCATGTGGACTATATTATAAATTGGTTGGAGCTCTATGAAATTGGCATAACATCTGGAGCTCATGGAAAATGGCTTAACTTTATATACATCGTATATGCATAAACACCATATAAAATGATTATAATCAACATAAAAGATTTTGAGCGTTTCGTGCTGTGAAATACCGAAACACAGTCAACAGCCTCCGTCGTACGTAAGACAGAAAGTGAAAGATAAGCATTTCTATGTCGGGAATCCACAAATTCATTGCCCCAAAACATCGATAACGTGCCAATGAACGTACTAGACATTGAATTACACACACATAAATTTCAAAGTGCGAGCAAGCGCGCACAAATTATGAATCAATGCACTGAATAGTTATTTATCGTTGAAAATTATAAGGTCGACGTCGTTAATTTGCTTATGCCAAACAGAAACTACTGTGCACTTGCGGTTCGTTTGAAGTTTATGAGTTGCTGGGGTCAAACTCATTTTAATTTCAATGGTCCCATTAAATTTTAATACAATACAATTTGAAGAGCCGAAAAAAAAGATTTAAAACGAACCATGGCGTTGAATGGTCGTGAATTGTGAGCTCATAGTCAACGTGAAATTGAAAGTGCAGACAAATTTATTAGAATTTAAACCCATCGAAGATACTTAAAATAGATGTTCAATCATTATTATTTGCTATTCACACCGCAGCTTATAATGCAAATTTTCTTCGACGACGAGCAGCTTAACGCTGAGGTTTTGATGTTGTTTACAAAAAAATCCACGTCGAAAATCTTGCAAAATTACGTCTCAAAATCAAGTGATTTCGCATACATTTTTGCCTCTCTCTCTCTTCCCCCAAAAAACGAAACTGACCGTACGATTCATAAAACTAATTTAGATTCTTTTCGATGATAAATTAAGAGTTTTACACTTGAGCATAATATTTTATGTGAATATTATGGCAATCGCTTCTTGCAGCGCAACCTTTTCCGCAAAATGATACAATGTCGCATTTTGATTCAAATCGAAAACGTTCATTGTATTACCCTCAGCATAGTTTTTATTCCATGTAGACTGTTGTGCAAACACAAACGAATCAGCATTTTCATTTGTTGCTCTTTTACCCGCATACAGAAAAATATACCGCAAAACAAACGGTCATAATTCAATTTTCTTCCGTAATTCAATTTCAAATGATTGCGTTTGTGAATTAATTTTGCCGTTTTTTTTGTTTGCATGCAAATGAAATTACGTTTGCCAAGGCAAAAAGCACATAAACCAAATTACAATTAGAAATATTCTGATTTACACTTCACACCGAAATTCTTATTCAAAAATATTTTCCAGACAATGTCGTACGCATATCGAATAAGTCTACTCAGATTCTGACATTCAACTTCGTTTCGATGACACTCGATCGACATTTTTGTGAAAGTGAACATGTTGAAGAAAACAAAATTGCTACCGACACTTTTATTTTCAGACATCAATGTGCTCATTCTTAAATTAGTTCTCGACGAACACAAAAAAACTATGTAACTCTTATTTCTTGCAAAAAACATGACACGTCCATAAGTTTTCACTTAAAATTCAAATTAGTTTGCGATTTTTTCGTATTTTTTTTGTTTCATTCTGAAATTCAAGCATAGTTTTTCTTTTGACCGCACAATACGTGCGTATCAAATAACTGCGATAGAATAAACGGCGGAAAAAAATGCTATATTCAACAAGCGCCACGTACAATTTCCTTTGCGCATTAAATTAAATTGAAAAAATTATATTAATTTTTTCAAAATAGGGAAAGAACCCCGAACCTGATATACTTGGTGGAATGTTCTTGCGATGATTATATTTACGAAAACAACACGATTTTAGAGTTTGCTGTAGTTTTTTTGTTGTTGCTAAATTTTTTTCTATCGCTGAAATAATTTCCGTGATCCTAATTTCAATGTAATTTTTATTTATTCGCGGGGTTATTGTTTATATCGCCGATTGAAGCATATTGACGCAATACTACAATTAATTTATGCTAAATCTAGACATTTTCTATGTAATTACATCGATTTTTTTATTACGTTGTTAGAATATGCGTGCCAAAATATTTCTTTTTTTCGTGTATATTCGACGCGTTCGCGTGTATTTGTTTACATTTTTTCATATTTTGATGAAAATTCTCCCGCTGTGCCATTGCTTCAAAAAAATTATTTTCTGACAATTCGGCACATGTCGGATGTAACACGAAAAATGTTCAATTGAATTCGGAAATTGATCTATTTTTTTAAAAATTTATCAAAGCGAATGACATGATATTAAATTTGAGAGATGCTGGCAAATATTCGCTCCGCATCGTGTGCACAAATGAATATTTAAAAAAAAAAATCAATCTCGATAAAACCTCTATGCAATGATGTCAAACAAATGCATCGCATCTGTGCTACATATTATGTGCACAGCAAATGTTCCGTTGCGAATGTCGGAATATACTCATCACATGCAAATCGCATATATGTGAGTTTTTTTCTGTAATAAAATAAAGTTTTTGTGACTCTACGAACGTTTCACATTAACGAACATGTTCAATCTCTCTCTCTCTCTCTCTCTCTCTCTCTCTTTCCATATCAAAAGACCTCACATACAGTTAATGCCGCACATGCAGTTCATGTTGTCCCCGATCCCTGAACGGAATTACATCGTGTGTATGTATGTATAAAGCAATTTGATAAAAGATATTTTGTGTTTGCACTCAACATTTTGTACCATGTGATTAATGCAATTAAAACGCAAGTGTTAAATATCTCGGTATGAAGCGTTAGATTCTAAAAATACTTGGAATAAAAACGAGGAAAAGAGATACTATGGAAGATATTCGATGGGAAAACGAACGACAACGTTGTCGGAAACGGTAAGCGCCACGCGCGATACAAACAGATCTAGTCAGTGACTGAAAGAAAGTGGGTTCATGACGTTCATTTAGAATAAATCACTTTCAAAGAGCTTTGCACATTCAGAAAAAAAACTAAGACTAAGAACAAAAAGCGCGCGACACTGCACATAATAATAATTTATTCAAATTAATATCGAAAGAGAAGACTTGCGACGTCTGTTTTGCATTATTATGCTCAAATAATTATCTGTGTAACGTAGCTCGGCTCCGATTTCATGCTCCGATATGAACATAATTAATGGAAAGAAAAGAGCAAAGCAATTTAGGTCCAATTGTGTATATGTCGCTAGCAGGCAAATTATCTATTTTTTTATCCGTGAAGAAAAAAAACATCTCTTTACCATATATAAGCGACACGAAATAAAGAAGATAAATTGACGAAAGGAATACCTAATCGTCTTCCAAAAAATATGGTTTTCAAAAATAGACTAGTCTATGGGGCTCACAGCGTCTTCCATTTCATAACCGTATACAATTCAAAAAATATCAAGATGCCAAAATCTAATTACGGTTCAGTGAATTTAATCAAATAACCGCGGGAGAAGATACATCCCACCAGTATGGAGAAGAAGAAAATACAAAAATAAATGGACACAACAAAAAAAAAATTGCTACGCATTGTTGGTGTTCAAATAAATTACATCAGAACCCAAAATTTAAATCTTGTTTTTTTTTTTATCGTTTGGTATGTATGTGTATGTGTGTTGTTTTGTTTTGGCACTGTGTTCATCAAAGCGTTTACAAGTGTTAATAACAGAGATTAAAGCCGGATACAGTTCGATATGTTTGAAATGAGTCGTTGCATTTTTAGCTATTTTGCATTCTCATGGATAAATTATTTCCCATTTGGCCTATGCGACGACGTTCACATTGTCCATTACTTGGAAGTCAGGGTAATTTCAATTAATTTGTAGTGGATCTTTTTTTATTCATATTCCCTTTTGCATGCATTAAATCACAAGGTAAACTACAAAATATTTATTGAAGTGCCTCTCTAGTACTATTTCGATGATAAAAGTGATGAATGGGCTGATAGTATAATTAGCATTCATCATATGGTTGGGAATAAAAACAAAATTATACGGTGATTGTTAATGGGAGAACAAATTTATATGTGTAAATAAAAGAACAAAAACATGTCGAATCGCCAATACTTTTTTATAAATTCAATTTTCAATTCGTTTGTGATAATAGCTTTTGTGTTTTATCGTAAATCGATTGGTGAATTCGATTAAAACTGCCAAAGTCATTGCAGTATTGACTAATAATTTGTATTTATGCTGTGCGACAGAGATAGAAGCGAAATGAATACGGTGGAATTGAGTTGAGCTATTACGTTCCATTTGAACGTGTGTATCATCGGAATATAGTCGTCGGAAGCTATTAATAAACGAATTAAAGCTTAATCATATTCTTTGAGTGGATTCATACTTGAATTGCGCAAATATTGAATTGCACTGTGCTTTTAGTCGGTCATAAAAACTAAGGTCACCGAAACAAATAGCATAACAACAACAACCATGCAAATATTGTGCAATCGTCTCGAGAGATGATTACAATGATTAGAGTTATTGCACTTAGGAAACAAACCCCATTTAACTTGTCGTTTGCAATTTGAATAAAGTATATGTTTGTCTTTATCTCTGTTTTCAGTTGGAGTTTGCATCGCGATAGCAAAGGAAGACGTTTCAATTGAAAGACGACAACGACGACGACGAAAAGTACGAGAAAGAGAGAAACCAAATTAGAATCGTCAAGATGCCGAATTCAAAGTCAATACTAAAAATCCTATTTGCGCTGGGCGTGTGGTCATTTGTGGTCATAGGACTGTTTAAAATTCATAGTAATAATATTGTTTTAGAAGATTATCCACAAGCGCCGATGAGCGGACGATTGCTACTTCAAAAAGATTCAAAATTCAATTTTGAAGCTACATCAACGACAACCGATCGCGTTTTACCATTAGATGTGCTAATCGATAGTCGTCAAGGTAAGTACACCACTATTTATTTTAGTTTAGCTATGTATATCATTGTTGGTATTTTGTTCAGCACAGCTTTAGAATTAAAACGAAAGAAAAAAAACTTGAAAAAAGCGAAATTTTCTCACATTTTCGATTTCTCATAGGTATCGACGATGAATCGCTGGTGCGTGACGTAGAGAATCGCATACCATCATTACCCATTACATATTGGAGTAAATATAAAAATTTCTCACAGAAAAAGGCATCAACCTGTGCCAAATACCCGTCAATATTTGAATTAGAATTCAATAACATTTACTGGCAAACATTGCGCACAACAAATGGAACGTTTCAATTGTTTGGCGCATACTATGATATACGAAAGAATTCACGCATTGGACCAGCCGTTCGAATTCTTGGAATGATCGATCGCATTGAACCAAAAGTAAAAACATATTGTCAATTTTGGTTTGATGGCCAAAAAGAACCGTTCATTGTGAAAACATTTGAATACAAGTACATTTGGTATAACAAATGGGGCAACTATAAGCAAGGCATTTATTCACCATATTTGATTGCATGCCAAATCCCAAAGCCATTCCATGGCATTGTGCCGGCATCGGTGTCTATTGTTGAAAAGGAATGTGATACGGCCACAAATAATCTACGTGTTATTTACAATCGACCGCCTGACGACAAGAAGAAAGGTTTTGCGGTTTGTGTTAAAGGATTAGATTTTCTGTACGATGATTTGTCGGTGCGGCTGGTCGAATGGATTGAAATGCTTAACATTTTGGGTGCGGAGAAAATCTACTTTTATGAACTGCAAGTGCATCCGAACATTTCAAAAGTCCTGAAACACTATGAACGGGAGGGAAAAGTGCAAGTCACACCGCTTACGTTGTCCGGAGGCCAACCAAATGTTCCTGGGTTTCAGCACTTGTATTTAACAAAGAAAACAAATCACAAGCGACAGAATGAAATTATACCGTACGTATTATTTTAAATGAATGCACGCATTCTTTTACCAATGAAGCAGTCATTTAGATTTGCACAGCAAAATACATTTTTCATAGCTTATGTCTTCATATTTTTTTTTTTTCATTCACAGGTATAATGATTGTCTGTACAAAAACATGTACATGTATGATTTTCTTGCATTACTTGACATTGATGAGGTGATCATGCCGAAAGAAGATATGACATGGGCCGAACTCATGGATCGTGTTAAGCCAAAAGCATTGAAAATTAAAAACGAAACGTATCCCAGTTATAACGTTCGTAACGTTTACTTTTTGGATGCACATCAACATGAGCACGGTTGGTATAGAGACATTCCAAAATATCTACACATGTTGCAACATGTATATCGTGCACAAAATTTTACAAAACCAAATCAATATGTGAAATGCTTTCACAATCCCGAACGTGTACTTACGTTGCATAATCATTTTCCATTGGCTTGTTTGGGTGGCGTTTGTCAGTCGTATCCAATATCTACCGACGATGCGCAATTACAACACTATCGGGCTGATTGCGTGAAAACACTTAAAAAAAGTTGTGATGAATTCAAAGAGCATTCGGTACGGGATACAACCATATGGAAATTCAAAGATGAATTAATCAATCGATCCGTTAAAACATTGGAAACACTTGGGTTTTTCCGAAATCCAACGAAAAATCCAAATATCGAACGGTGATTTTGGGAATTCTAAATAAAACCATCGAAAATGATTTTCGCAAATGAATTCAAACCAAAACAAAAAATAATATTGAAACTCTAATCAGATTTTTTTTAGACGAACTTATTAACTTATGATATTGAAAGAATGAGGAGAAAAGATATCAAAATATAATATGACAACGTGTGCTGTCGGAAAAAACAAGATGAATAAAAACACATATGAGCTTGTGGCTTAAAATGCCAAGCACTATATTATACTATGAGTCAACCAAAAAACCGTGATATTTGTTCGTATTTATAAGTGTAGAAAATGAATCTAGCATCGTTTTTTAAAAAATCATTTCGTTTTGCGATCAGAGTGCATTTCTGAATGAGCGATGCATTAAAATCGGATGAAATAGTAATGAACGATGCAAAAGTAATGAATTGAAATTTATAATTTTTACGAATCAAACGAATAACTGTTACATTGTAAGTGATGTATAATTATGATTTTTTTTTGTGGAGAACAAAGAAAAGAGAGAAACACATTTTGCTTTGCGAATTTATTCATACCGTAATTGAAAGTCATCGCCTTACTTAAGGAATAAAAATGAAAAGAATCAGGAATTAAAACCGAACATTTTGTTTCATTGCAAAAAAAAAAAAAAAAAAAATTACACACAGAACATCAATCAATTGTCAGAGCATAAAAAAACTCATTGTGGAATCAGTGTATGTGGTGTTGTGTAAAATGGTGTTGAAACGACAATAAAGAAATTCCACAAGTTTATTGACCACATACAAAATGTCGTTTATATTTGCATTGAAATTTAAATAATAAGAAGATGCGATAGCAAAAATAAACCAGAAATCGGTTGAAATGGAGAAATGCCGTGCGATAATGACATCACTCAAAATGAATCATGCAACTTGAAATTCCTCGATGATGAAAACGATATCGAATGAGTTGGTCTGCGCGTGCGAGAGGGAATGCACGCAAATACTTTCAAAACCAAAATGTGTAGAAGCAAGAAAATCGTTTTTTTATGACTTTTTCGTCGAGAATGAGTAATGGTTTCGTGGTCACAATGTGCAACATAAAACCAAAATACAGAGAATAAACTTACGCCATCCATTTTAAAACGAATGCTAAGTTCGTTGTTAATTCGATTTATTTTTATGGCTTTTATTCCACCCCGATGTCAAAATCAGAGAATAACATATTTACCGATTATTGTGCGGTGTGACAATTGAATTTCAACGAATCACTTTCGCTTGTCAATGTCATCATTCTGAATCTGCGATGCAATCAATCATATGGCGTTGCATTGAATAAAAGACGCGCTGGCAGTGCAAAAAAAAGAGAAGATACTTAATCAACAACTGTTGCATTAAAAGTGAAGCTTTAACAGCAAAATGGTTCATACATATCCATAAATTATCTCTCTCTTTCTCTGTTGAGAGCGCGGGCGCATCGATTTCACTATTATTCATGATCGAATACAAAGCAAACCCACTGAATATGCAATTTAGTTTTTTCACAATCTCTTGTGCGCATAATATTGTCAGAATGATAAGTAAAAGTGGTGGCGTAAAAAATTGCGATAAATTTCGAAACTACTGTTCATCGATGCCAAGGATATTTTCGTATAAAATGAAGACGTTCCATTTGATCGTATGTCTTTTCTTTTCATGGCGCGCGCGCACACACAAAAAAAACTCAAGATACATCATTTTCTGAACATGCAATCGCACTTACTATTTTGCAATAGAAATAATAACTCATTTTAATAACATGATTTGTTGAAAATGTATTAGGAATATTTATTAGAATGAGCGAAAAATGAAACAAAATGAAAAGCAAAACAAATATGAAGAGAAAATAAAGAACACAAATATTATTTATATATTTTATATGTAAATTATGAAGACTGAACCAATTAAGTTACATTATAATTAACACATGAAGAAGCAAATACAAGCTAGAAAGAAAAAAAGAGTAACTAAAACTAAACAAAAAATCTTCTTACAAATTATAATCATTCTTCTGAAAAGCCAGCCAGACAAACGATAGGATTTATAAGTAATATTCAGCACGCATGAGAACGATTGCTGCAGCAAAATATACATTTATACACATCAACCGCTTATCAATGTGCATCATCCGTTTGTAATTGATGTGTGACTGCAATTGTAAAAAACATTCAGCCAACAATTTATATTCACGCTCCATTAACGAAATGAAGTTAGAAATGAAAAATATATAAAGCAGATACCACTTTTTTTACAATAATCACGCGCTCAAACGTGTCGAAATGCATCTTCTATCTCTTTTATAATCCCCGTCACCAATTTATGCGAATCATCATCAATGGATGAGCGAGAGAATAGAAATAGCAGTGCATTGAGAAAATAGAATGGCTTAAGGCGCGTATCTCGCAATAGAGAATACACATAAAATCAAACATTATGCTGAGATATACTCAGCCAGCTGAATCGGCTCGGGCAGCTAACAAGACAATTAATGAAATGTGGTCCGTCAGCTAGGATTGATTTTTGTAGTGAATTTAACAATGGAAGTGTTTTTATACCTATAACATCTATTGTTGTCGCCTCATTTCAGCGCCTGGCGTTAGCCGCCCGTCCTGATTCAGCCGGCTAAAAATATCTCAATACAATATCTACTCAAAACGGCTTAAAATCAATAGAGAAAATAGTCGAAATAAAACGAACGAGATGTAAATGAATGTATGTCTCTTTCTCCTCTATTTACTATTTGTACATAGACTCAGATAGATTTTATTGTCGTTATTAGAATAAATAAAGATGATAAATCAATTCAAAAGCGTCAGAAAGGCAGCCCAAGCGAATTTTAATTCAATAATTATATTATTCTATTCAAATGATGAAGATATATAAATATGTATGTAGGCAAACCATTCGTATCATTGCTATTATCGAATATTAAATGTTTTAATAAAGAAACAATGTAATATCTGTGCAACAAAAGAAAACCAACAACAATTTTCAAATGCACATTTATACAGTACTCAAATATTTGTGCAAGAAATTAATTGCAACTGCAATAGCAGCGAGAATATTTCAGCAACAAAAACCAATGGAACACACCAATTGAATGGGCTTTTGTCACAAGCTAATAAAATTGTGTAAAATATTTCAAATTGTTCGTTTATAATCGAAAAATCACATAGACGCCGTGTTTGTTGCTGCATTTTTTAAATCAAATTTATACGCATACCAAGCGATATTGTGTTAACAGCATATGTCCATTTTGCTATGGCTAATTAAAATGAATACCCAAAAACAATATACACAACACATATAGATATTATCAATGCATTGCAAACACATACTTATATACTTATTTGTTAAATTTTGAACACAAAAAAAATTGAAAACCAACTAAACTAAATGCATTATAGCATATTTATCAAAAATAATGTTTCTGTTTATAAATAGGTTTTATGAATCTAATATAATATAATTATTGCCAATAAAACAGTCATAATTTTATTTTTAATTGAAAAATAATGCGTTTTTCTTTCTATCTTTATTTCTTGGTTTTTGGAATTTTAATCTTTAATTTTTCAGTTTTAGTATGTGCAAAAATTATGTGTCACCAAAAGCGTTTTATGGCCGGTCGTATTGCATCAAATTGAGGCTAAGTCGTCATAAAGTTTTGTAGGTGCCATTTATTTATTGTTTGGCAATATTTGAATGCGACTGGCATTTAAAGAGGTTTTGGATGCACAAACCTACTTTGTGCATCATAATTTTTTTCTTCTCTTCTACTTCTTCTGCGTACATATTTGTTAGGTGAGTATTTTAACGCATAATTTCAATGTGCATTGAATCTGGGTGCGTAGCATGTTGTGAATGGTGATGATGATGATGCATCTAACAAATGAGCAAAATAAATTCTAAAGCACACCTCACGTTCATTGCAAAAAAAAAAAAAAAAATCCTGGAGAATGCGTTTGGCGAATGATTTGTGTGTTTCCCATTCATTCGTAATGTGTGATTCTACAATTCTACATTTCACACCCGTTTCTACTTTTTTATATCTTTATTTCGTTGAAAATTGTATTCTGTGTGTCACTGCAGTCAACAGTTCCATATTTATTTTTTCTCAGTTTTACTGCTTACCAGTTTTCTAATGCACACACATATTCCATCTTGAATCTTTTCCCTTTTGAATACAGATTCTCGTTCGCATTTGGAATGAAGAAATATTTTCCAATTTGAACAAAGATCACAGCGATTTTTTTCCTTCTCTCTTTTATTTGAAATGAATTTTATGGCATGCGCAATATTATTTTTATTTTGCCTTTCTTTCCGCATTGAGAAACAATTTTGTAAATCGAATCTGTGCATTTGGTCGTTAAATGCAACAGTGGCCATAATATAACAATTGTGTCGATAATGGACGTACAGCAAAAGACAATTGCTACCAAAGAAGCGTAAAAACTCCGAGTGGAAAAAAGAAACATAAAGAACAAGCAAAAAAAAGAACAAAACAAATATCTATCGAATGTTTATTGTGTGTGATTTGGGCGGTTGACCCATTTTCCATATCACACACACACATACATGACCAAATGGTCGGAAAGCAATATTATGTACGTGCGGTGCTAACAGCATTTGTTCTTAATTCGGTAATTCAACAAATTGGTGTGAATTACAAGTCTCTCTCTCTGTGTGTCTTTACTGGTACCGATGACCATTTGCAACATTTACACATGGTCGCATGTAAATACGGAACACGAACTACGAATAAAACTAGTTTGACCATTTCTGGTTAACAGTTCTTTCTAATGTGCTTTTTTTAGTCTTACTTCTTCTTTTTCGTTTTCTTTTCAATCGCAATGAAATGCGCAAAGAAATAGACTGAACTTTAAAGCGATACAAAGCACAAAAGCAATCAGCCATTGGTGTGCGGTTATTGTGTTGACGATTAATAAAAATGACTACATAATTGCATTTGCTCATTGAATGAAGAAAAGAAAAACCGAGAACTGAATTGTTTTCTCTCAATTCCACTGTTTTTAATGACTTAATTGACCCGAAAACAGAGATACCACTATCTGTTTAAAATTAATATTCGAAAAACGTTTATCGACGAATTCGAAACCAATTAAAGTTGGTTCATCGAAATTGATATATATTATTCGAAACGGTTTATTAGGAGATTCATCGGTTTTGTTTTCTTTGTCGATTAAATGGAAAACGTTTATCTGAATATCTGCAATCTTGGCAACCAAAACTCTTCAATCAATCGAAAGTAAAATTGCACTTCTGTGTTATTTTCAGAGAATTCATTGTACTTTTTTGTGGCTACCGCTACATGGCATTGTTTTAAGCACAAGTTTCTTTTATTCTTCGCCGATTCAATCTAAAGTTCGTATAAAGATTTTTTGTTTCGCTTGCGAAACTGTGTACTGATGCATGTGGTTCCAGCATGATTGTAAACAGAGGGAACAAAACAAACACAAACAAAACTATTTCAATAAAATGAAGAGCATGTGTGTTGTGGATTTTTGGTAGATGTTTTTTTTTTTCGTATGGAACCAAATGAATATTTGACCGGAGGTAAAATGTTATTTTCTTCCTGCAATCCGTACATTTCTTTGATACTTTAGCACATCTACGAGATAATCATCACTTTGTAAACGGTTTTTGAAACGCAAGATGATGAGCAATTGTTCTTCTTACTGAATGTTCTCCCTCATGCCCCATTCTACCTTGAGGAAAGTGTGTATGTGTGTGCAAACCATAAAACCGAAAGAGTGCATAAACTGATATGAAATCTTTTAAACGAAATAACACTTTGAATGTTGTAGATTCATGGCATTTTGGTGAATTTCATTTACCCGCAAAACACGTTCTACCGAATGCGTTTCTGTAAACGAGCCGAACAATTTATTTGCACTTTACGAAGAGTTAGTGCTTGAAATAAATTTGTAACTTTTTCCTAGTTTGTTCAACAGAACACGTAAGAGAGTAAAGTTAATGCGCTTTCATGGTAAATAAATCAAATATCTGCAGAGTGTTCTGTGCTTGCTCTTGACCGAACATTGGTACGAGCATTGAAAGAAAGTAACGAAAATAAATGCGATACATTAAAAACAGATTGAACTTTTTGTTGTTGTTGAAGAATGGGTTTGAATGTGTGTAATTCGTCTTAAAATGTGTAGATCTTAAATCATATAAACGCCATTTCGACATTTAAAGTTGCATGCATGCAAAAACTTTCTTTCTTTATAGTGAAAATTAAACCAGTTCTCATCATCCATTTTTTTCTGCATGATATGATAAGATTTGGTACAAGGTCAATTTATTGCATATCGTATTTCGGCATACCAACACCATTCTCTCATTGTTTTTATATTTATCATCCACAATCTGATGGTTTTAAATTTGAAAGATATATATATATATATATATAAAGCGTTTGGTTCGGCAAATAGCAACTCAAGAATATGGCATTATCGTTGAAAATAAGAGACTTATTTGCTTTCGGCAAACGTATATTTACGATTCATATCTGTCTAAGCAAATATTTGTAAAACATAATGCTTAAGGTGGCATCCAGTCAAACCAAAATTCGAAGGCTGCTCAAATGAAACGATATCATGATTGAACTATCACAGAATTGTTGTTGGCAAAAAACGTATGACTTGTACATGTTAAAGTGTCTCTTGGATAATTCATTGATATTAACGTAAAAAAAAAACAATGTGTGATTTAACACGTCTAATGAACAATTACAATGCACATGCAATTCGGTTTCATGTACGTTTTCCGATTTTATAAGAGATATCGACGAATACAATGAATCGGAGAAAATGAACGAAATTGCATATATTTAGGCGATTTTGTTCAACAATCAAGTGGAGCAACTCGTAAAATCGAATTTACACAATCAAGAGTGGATGAAAGTGAAAGTTGGATTTTCAATGATGAGCTCAAAGTAAGTTGGTTCGATCATCGAAGTTTATTTCGAACAATCATGTTTCTGTTTCATGGTTTGAGAATTTTTTTTTTCGTTGATTTTCTTATTTGAAACATCTGCTATTCCAGTAGTAATTTTAACGAAGAAAAAAACTTATTGCCAATTAATAATTTTCAATTAACTCGCAACTTGAAGATATTATAGAATGTTCTCCTCCTATTTATGGTTCAAATAAACAGTGTAATTTAATATACAAAATATTCCAAAACATAATTAAAACTTTGTTAGTTTATGGAATTTCTCCCATTGATTCATAAGCGATAACATATAAATATATCTTGAGAGAGAATAAAATTGAGAAATTCTTCTAATGAGATTCAGTACAGTTTATGTTTTCATCAAAGAATTATTAGGAATATGTGATGTAAATCCAAAGCGATTTATCCAAAGATGAAGAGTTAATACTTTGTGATAAATTGAAGATTTCAGACTGTGGCAGCAAACAACAAATTATTACGCTAGTAGTGTAAACACATAGAAAGCTTAATAAATAAAGAAGATGATGTGTTAATATCCTGGTCATAAATTTCGGCTACAACTTCTGAGAAAAGCCATCAATTTCCATTGATTATTCCTCATCAGAACAAAATTCAAAGAATATAAGCTGCTCTATTGCTCATCAAATAAATTTACGCATGCATAGTTAATAAATAGTTGATTGGAAAATATGTTTGTCGATGGAAATATTGTGAATAAAATATGCATTTTACACATACAAAAATTTGCCACATTGTTCAGTCAACAATGTATGCATCGGTTTTGAATATATTATTATCAAACAAATTAAATTTCAACTTTTAAATTGTTTATTCGATGTAATATTTTCATGAGCCCGTAACACAGCAACAATGTTTCATTTGAATTAATCCATTGTGTGCATTGAAACACATTAAAAATGACGGCACAACAATGTAATGTGGTCCATACTTTAATTTATCTTGTGATGGTACAGCTCAAAACAAAACATTGGGTCAAGAGATCAAGTTCGTAAATTTAAGATATGCGTGAGTCTTTATGTAAACCACTTATCGGTGTGCATGCTTTTAAGTTTGTCTACATTTGAATGAGCGGCGATAAAATGTTTCCTATTTATATGTTGATAACGGCTTACTTTCATTCATCTTTATCGTCGTATTTTTGACTTTGGAATTTGGAGTATGTTTATGTATCGCATCGCATCGCTGCGATTGTTGAAATGGGCGAATGTGAACGCGTCATAATGTATTACAATGCGAATACCAATGCAGAGAGAGAATGAAACTAATACAAAAACAGGGTCCGTGTAAGCGTGTGTATTATTTGACGTTTTATTCACGGGCTTTTCCAATGTGTTGTGAATTCTCTCATTGCCTCTCAAATACAACGATAAACAAATGAGTGTAGTTTTGCTGTCAGACCAATCGAATGTTATATGTATTGGTGGATAATATTACGTTTCATGACATCAGTGTGTGATTCTGTGTGCTGTGTGTATAGTGAGAAAGAGAATTCGACTGAAGAGGTGTACAGAAGGCAAAGACAAGACAGAAAAAATATTGAAGGCACAGTAGAAAAAAAGTAACAACAACGACAACGACGACGACAACAGCAACCACACAATGAATTGTTGTGTGTCATTTTTCTAAAGACGTCCAGAGCAAAAAAAAAAAGATACGAAAAACAGAAAAATCATTGCGAGTGCAAAAATTTTATTTCAAAAACATTAATTTTTCTCGTTCATAATTTGTGGCTGATAAATTGAAAATTGTTTTTTTGTAATTGATTGTCATTACGTGGATAAATTTTTCAACAGTAGTTTCAATAGAAACGCGCAAAAGACAACAAAAACTACATATATACACAAATTCAATATACAAGTGTAAGTGGATGTTGTGTGTACTGAAGAAAACGATTTGTTGTGCTCAAGTATTGTATTATATGTAATATTATTGTGTGTAATTTCCTTGGCTGCTTGATTGAATCCGAAAGTGATAATCATTGTGGATACTTGATGTGTCGTGCTTTTTTTCCCTTCTCGATGCATAAAAAAACACAATAAATTAGCAATACGAGAGTGTGTCTTTTAGCACGGATATGTGACGGTGACGCATTTTCATATATATATAAATTTGTGCAGTTGTGCACTAAAAGTCAATAATATAACGAGCGTATAGTTCAAGATGATTTAGATTGTATAACATTTGTGGCCGATCTCGAATACATAACATACATACAATTGACGGAAAAGACGAGACACCAATCGATCACACAATTTGTAAATGGAAAAATACGATAGAGCGAGAGCGAGACAAAACCGAAGTGAAATTACGTTAGTCGTGTGTGTATATATGTACACCGTAAATAATACATAGTTTATCGACGAAACAGAGAAAAATATTGAAAAAAAGGCAACTAAACTAGCGAATGCAGAGAGAGACCAGATAAAAAAGTGAACGCACAAAAAAAAGATGAAACAATAAAAAAAGAGATATAGACGTAAAAAATAGCAACAATTATTACGCGCGCACTGCCGCGATGATCTCATACAACATCTGTAATGGTGACTAAGCTCCGACACATCGCAAACATTTATGGCAAAAGTGAAACACCAAATAGCAACCACCGCGACAGACATACATTTTCACATTGATGCATCCACGAAGCGAAAAAAAACACATTTTTTGAATTGAAATTCATCGAATAACTTTTAGTATTATTACCTCTTCATCCGTATATATCATACATTTATTGTTATCACAATTTGATTGGGTTCGTTACCACAATTCGCAGTGTGTGTTCAATATAGAAAAAAAAAAACGCAGCACAAAGGCCGAATATTTAAAAGGAAAATCATAAAAACAAAATATATTAAATATCAAAGAAAAGAAAAGGGGAAAAAGCAACAACAATAATCAACTGAAGATGAAAAAAGAGTAAAGCCAATCATCTCACACTCTCATCAAATAATAACAACAACAGCAAAAAAAAAAAAACACATTCATACGCATATTAATAAGAAGAAGAAGTGAAACAATTTAACAGAGAGCGCGACCGTCCGATCGACGACCGTAGTAGCAAAAGTTAACTCTTTATAAATCGCATTGAATTTAATACGAACCGTAATCATTTTCTGTCAAATGCACTGATTAAATTGGCCAATAAAACTATAATAGGTACGATGGCAAAAATTAAAAAGCGAAAATAATATGCAAATAAGTAGAAAATTGGCTAGGAAGAGGCTGTCATTTGAATCGTTTGCATTTTGAAACTGGCACAAACTCTTCAAATCGTCATTGTGAACTCAATTATTTACTCGAGCGTTATACGGGCATGAAAATAAATGTAATGAAAACAAAAATTGAAATCAACAACGATATCAATTTTCAAGCACTTCAACAACACACAACCACAAGTACTGAATGAGTAATGTAATATCGGTTTGGGTTTGTTTTTTTTTTCTATTTTGATAAACGTGTGCAAATAAAATCAACTGAGAATTGAACAAAACTCGTTGTGTGTTGCAGTCATGTTTATCACTTCGTAAATCAATAAATTGCCATTTATGAATCGTTGTAATCGGCCATTTATTCGCTCTGTGTTCAATGGAATTATCCATGAAATAACAAAATAAGCACGTTTGCCAGAATTCACGTAGTTCAGTTGCAATTTATCCTCCTAAATTGAACATTTCATGAATGACAATGACACAAAATCTAATCGACATTTTTTCGAGCTCTGTCGTCAACTTCACTGCCAATGCGGGCAAAAGTTCAGATCAAGGTTATTGATGGAAATGTGAATGAAAGAAAGAGCGAGTGATAGAGAGAGAGGGAGGGCGAAACAAAAATCAATAACACAGCAAGAATGTTGATATTCTCAGAGATAAAGTCTATTGATAGAGCAAAACAAATCGTTTTCGTTATGTCCATTTTTTTTTCTTCTCGTGAAACCAAAATAAATGCGAAATATTGACAAAAATCCCAATAATCATTTCATCTCCGATGTGCGTTGATATTAAAAGCTTTTCTTTTTCCTTTCAATTTCCTACAGATGCCATCGCATGTACTTAATCAAATCGGAAATAAAATCGGAAGCAATTTTTGTGGGAATCGATTTTTTGAAGCGTTAAATTCGAATGAACTTCCTAGCGCTGAACGAATTTTGAAGAAACACAGAGAAATAAACAACATAAAAGAAAATAACGTATTTACGCCAAATTTTGCGCCGTCATAGAGATTGAAATAGATAAAAAAAAGAAGAAGACACGACCGAGACAGAGAGAAACAACACAGTAGACCGCCAAAATGAAGAAGCAATTCCATAAAATCAAAATAGCAGCTGAAAATTTTTCAAGGTAAGCATAAAAATGATTGAGGCACACGCACCAAAATCACGCATGCCATGCGTATGGCATATGAATTTGGATGTGTGTGTGTGTGTTTGTTTGGCCTACAGGTTATTTGGGCTTTTCTAACTACCAACTGTGCGTCATAGTCATACCGTCAGTTCGGGATTGTTTGTATAATTTTTTTTTTCGTTTTAAATATGTTTACACATCATAGAAATGCGACTATAAATACACAAAAAACATATGTATTTAGAAAGAAAATGTATAGACAACACAATGAAAATCATATTGAACGAAATGCACGATGTGTGAAACATGAGCACGAACGAATAGAAAAACAAATCAGAGAGCGGCGTATTTGTGGAGAGTATTAGTCAGAAGTGTGTTTTTTGCTACAATAAAACCGAAGGTTACGCAGTACTGATACTTTTGTTAATATACATACCATTTTTTTTGTTATTCGGTCATTCGGACTTCGCGTTCGTTATTTGTATTATGTTTTCATGTGTGTGTGCGTCGTTGTGTATCACCACATTTATTGAGCAATTTTTGTGATCATACAAAGTAATTAACGTATGCATGCAGGTACGCTCTCTATTCGTAATTATGTTTGCTCTTATTTTTTTGGGGCTGCTCTCATTTGTTACGCTTTTCGAGCGCGCAAGCAATGTTTTTTTAATTCTAACGTTAACAAAAGCTCCAAATCACTCGTTGAAACCTGAATTAATCTCACATATTCATCATATCATACAGTTCATTTAATATGTACACACATACATATTGTACATAGATAGACATGTTTTGGCTTTGCGTGGAAAGTGTAATAATGTGACACGAATGTATACATCGTACCGAAGAGATTAATTAACGTGCTTAAAATCCATACACACAAATGGAATAAAAATCGACGATCAAATATAAACAATAATAATTTGCACAGCACTTTGATGTCATAAACAATAAAGTGAAGCTGATAACCGATTCGATTCGGACACGATTATTCCATGAAGGCGTATCGAACAAAGTAAATATGATTACATCAATGATGATGATTTAATGAAACGAAGAAGAGGAAAATCAAGAAATTCTCGTTGATTAAGCGCAACTCGAAACGATTACACATATCAACAATGTTTATGTTTATACTGTGTGTTGTCAAAGTGCTGGCGGCTTTGCATGAAATAGACCTTTTATTCCATTTATATTGTGTCAAATTGAACCTAAACCACATAAAAACGAATTACTTATTGCTGTGAGTTCCATTGTTTAGAATCTGCTTGTTTATTCGAAAAGAAAAGCATATGCGGGGTGTGTGGTGTATGCGCAGAACGGAGCGAAAATAACCTGAAGCGTGTGAGTGAAAAAAAAGAACTGAAACCAAATATTCTGGATGGATTTGTAGGCGTTTGCAATGATGCTTTTGTTTGGTCCAATATCAGCAACGTTTTTGTTTTTGAGTGCGTGTTTATATTTTCCATTTTACATTCGCCAAAGAATGCACAAACGAAATAATATACACACCGAAGAAGAAGAAAAAAAAAATTGCACGATGATTTGCTCTGGTTCCAACGTTGATAAAGAACTATGCACACAATTTCATCATCGCTATCATCATCATCAGAAGCAAGCGATATAGCGTGTTCGCCGTTTTTGTTTTATTTCATAAATTTTTTCTTTCTGCTTACGCTTTTGTTCGTGAGAGAGCAATAAAACTGATTCGATTTATTTGCCACTCTTGCTTGCGATGATTGAATCAAAAGCATTTTTTTTATATTACACGCCACACTTAACTGAATTTGGCTTTTGTTTAATTTTCCAACCGCACAAATAATCTCAATTTTTTTACCTATTACATTATATGCATACACGCACACACTTTGTATTATTATACAATAGCCCACACATTTGCGGCATCAACAACGGCAACAATTACATTTTTGTACACACTCTCATTCACGAGTCAGTCAATTGTGGATTTTGTACCACATTATTTTGTTTATATATCGCTACATCACACGATGATGTTGTGTCTCTAATCATCGCCACCACGACGAGATGTTGTCGATGACGAAGCAAGCATATTCATGAATGAGTGCATACATTGCGTGTATGCGTGCGTGTATGTGTTTATCTGCATGGGAGTCTGAGAGCGAGCTTCGCACGAGAAATGAATTTCCGCGAAATTTTCAACGGCTTCGCTAGCTCGCTCGTTCTTCTCTTTCGAATCAAATTCAATTGGCTGCTCGCCTGCCGGATAAGCGAAAGAGACAAAAAAAAAACACCAACAAACGGTATATTATTATGTTAATCCGCCCTTTATTAAGAATGCGTTATATTTAGCATATTAAACACGATACATCAAGTTTTTACTCGATGCATATTAATCATTGATCCGTTCAAGCTTGTTTGCTATTATTTTTGCGCTAAATGGTCGACAGAGCCAGCGGCATGTTGTGGCATAACCACAAACGCAAATACACAAACCGAAAAATGCGACCATCTATCTATATTTGCCGTTATAACGTTGATTAGGAAAGTTGCAAAAAATCGCTTAGCCGCTACAAATCTTGTGTTAATCATATCAAAACAATACCAATTAATTAGACATAACAAACGTTAATCGTTCGTCAAATGTTTTTAAAAATTTACAAAAGCACCGAAACTTATTCGTATCGATTGTTTTATAAAATCAATTGTAGACAAACGAAAACCGATAAAAACAGCGAAGAATTAGTGGCAGCCGATCGACATGTGGAAAAATATAAAGAGGTTTTGGAGAAAATTTGCCGAAAATTTGTTCAAAATCCAACAAGCAGCAGTACAAATGCAGCAGATCAAGATGCTCGTGACAAGCGATGTAAAAAAGTACACGAATACAAATTGGCACAATCAATGGAAGAATCGTTGAAAGATTTACCGGACGGTTTACTGCATGATGTACTAGAAAATTGTGGTGAGTCTGTTTTTCACATTCTTATTTTTGTATCTCTTTTTCGATTTGTGTGTGTGTGTGTGTGTGTGTGAAAGAGAGAGAGAGAGAGAGAGAGATGAAAAGATGAATTTCATTCAATTTGAATTGTATATTTTTGGGTGTGTTTTTTCATTTAAATAAAAACAAATCTTCTTTCATGTATTCTCTTATTGTGTAGCTAAATTGGAAAAGAATATTGCCGTTGAGATTGTAAACAATGAAATTAATGTGGAGAATGATGTTACCAAAAAATTGGCTATTATCTTGGAAAATCACATCGGTCGAATTCAGAAACAAAAACGCATTGTGACCAAATTAATGCAAGACAACGAATCGGCCAAGCACAAATGTCAGGTAAGCGAAAAACGTCAGTTATATTTACCAGTAGTGTGTTACCATTGTTATTGTTGCTGTTAACCGTTTCTCAATGGATCTCAATACAAGTGACCGTTACAATTGAAACAAAATGTATGTGTGTTTTATAAATTACAAGTTTTTTTTTCTCTCAACCGAAAACAGTACAAACAATCGATTCTGTTTATACCAAACAATATGAACCAATATAAACAATACCCAGTCACTGTTAGTAACACTCACTGTTACTCATGTCTGTCTGGTTGTGTCTGTTTTTTTTTTGTCTTCATTATTTTGATTAACTGTGATTTATTTTCTCTGATGTTTTTCTTCGTTTATTTTTTTTTTGCGCAATTTGCATTGACTTATTTAGGCGGCTGTTCGTGTGAACGATAGCACATCCAAAATTAATCAGCTACGCGAAGAGCAAGAAGAATGTGAAGCCAAACTGGAAAAGGAACGAGATATTTGGGCAGCAGAAATGTTTGAATTAATCGCCGAAGAAGATGTCATGGCAAATCATGTGATTAATTATATCAAATACCAGCAGCTTTACTATAAATCAGCGCTTGAAGAAATCGAAGATGTTATGAATCGTATTAATGGTCTCATCAGTAAGTTTTCTTTTTAAATTTGCAAAATATGGAATTGTTCATAAGTTTTAACGAAAAAAAAAGAAATTGAGGAACAGTGCAAACATTTCTAATAAAAAACCCGTTTCTTCACAGAGGGAAATAATCGTAAAGTGTTTAAAGTTCCACTCGAGGAACATTTAAATACCACCGAACGAACAATATCTTATGTGATTGAATTGTGTGTTTGTTGTCTGTTGGAAAAGGGGCTATTTGAGGAGGGATTACTGCGTGTTGGCTGTGGTATGTTACAATTAAGCACCATTTTCTTCCCATGAAATTTCAAGAAAATTATGTAAAATGTTTGTATTTTGTAGCTGGTTCAAAACTGCGTCGATTTCGTTCGGCATTGGATGCGAATTTGATAACAACACCATATCCAAACGAATATCAAGATGTTCATGTGATTGCAAGTGCATTAAAATCATATTTACGTGACCTGCCCGAGCCATTGCTCACATTCAATCTATACGATCAATTCATTGCCGCTTCACAACGTCCAACCGAAGAACAACGTAAAACGGCTATTCTAAATGCATTAAATATGTTGCCAAAGCCAAACTATCAAAACTTGCGATATTTAACCAAATTTTTAGGTAAGCATCAGTCTTTCATCATTTTCAAATCGGTTTGTCATATTTTTTGTAATTAATCAATTTCTATTTGATTTCGCAACAGAATTACTCTCCCAAAAGCATAAAACAAATAAGATGACACCGCAAAACATAGCGATTGTAATGTCACCGAATTTACTGTGGTCGCCCGAAACTGGTGATAGTGATTACGTATCTAAAGTGAATAGTACCGCTTCCGTGAATACGATCGTCGAGGCGCTAGTTTCAGATTGGACATATTACTTTGGCGATGATTTTGCAATCAGTGATTTTTACATAACAATAAGTCGCGATGAATTATTTCCACACAATGGTGGTTTTCCAGTTGATCGTGACTTCAGCACGGATAATATTATGACAAAATCATTAAATATTATGCCGAGCGTGAATAATCAGCAAAATCATCAATTAAATCAATCGCTTGGCAGTTCAAGTATCAATTCATATCAATCGCATTCCAGAAGCAGCAGTCACGACACTAGTCTGATATTAATTGATGAAATGAGCGGCAGTTCGGATTCGTTAACCAAACGTAGCCAGTCAAATAGTTCATTGTCTGATTCAAGTCCACCGCCACAAGGGAGCCCAAAGTTACCGATTCGTAGGAAGAATACGAAGAAAGTTGCTCCAACACCACCCGATAATCGTATACAACGTGCGGCCGAACACTATTCCAACACGAACAGTGGTTCGCATCAATCGTCATCGGCTGAAACAATGCACGCAATGAAAGAACGATTTTTAAATTCGTGTCCGCCAACATCACAAGACGATACGAAATTCAGTTCAAATCGATTTTTGCGCAACGAAACCAAAGCACAAACAAATACATCCACATTCAAACCACCGTCAACGCCGATTTCAATGAAACAATGTTCGAATAGTACGGAAAATCTATCAGCAACCAAACCAGATAAACCACCACGGCCAGCAATGCCATGCATTGATAGTCAAACACTTGTACGAAATGCATTCAAATCGAAAGGCCAAGGCAGCGAAAGGCATAGTCGACCGATTGCATTACCCAGAAATCTTTTAAATGTAGCTCGAAGTACCGAAAACCTATCGTCCATTTCACCATCAAAAACATCGCCCAGCGCCAATTCAAATGACTATAATGACATTGTACAATTGCGTGATCGAAGCAATGAAAATAATCGTAATGATAAGCCAGCAATCCCAGAAAGACCAACTTCTCTGATGAAATCGTCAAATCTTCGAGCCGCATTCGAGAAATTTGATTCACATCAATCGATTTTACCCGATAGTCCGGGTGGTATTAAGAAAACACAAAGTTTTCGCATGAGTTCGACACCTGTCGGAAATGCAATTGGCAGTATTACCGGTCGCAGTTTGACCACATTGGAACGGACACATATCTATAGTGTTGATAAAAAACAAATTGAAATCATTGATGTTGATCAACAAAGTAATGGTAGCCACAGTGAAAGCTCGTCCAACGGAAAGAATTCGTCGAGCGACAAAGAGAATGACAAAGATAAGGACAGCGATAATTCAGATAAATCAAACGATTCAAATGGTGAACTAAAATCAAATGAATCGCTCAACGATGGAAATTTATTATCAACGTCCACTGGAAACGCAATGTCAAGCAGCACAACAAATGACATTTCCACGGTAACACAATCACCCCGTTGTTTTGAGCCAAAAGTAATAAAACGACCTCAAATTCCAGCACCACCTCCGCCAATTGAATCAAATCAGAGCAACAACGAACCAACGCAAAATCGCAAATCAGATACCACGGCAGCTGATTTCACTAAATTATAAGGCGAAAAAATTATTAAGAAAAATTCTGTGAAAAAAAAACACTGAAATCGAGTGCAGCTCGCATTTACAAGAAATCTAATTTAAAAACACCAATCATTTTATAGTGAAATAGCTTTCCAACGTTTGGACACAACTCGATTGTGACTGAACGAGAATTATGCTAAAGAAAAATTAAATGCTTTTAGCTTTAAAACATTTCTTATACGTATTTTGTACGCGCTGAACGCAAACAAATATCAGAGCAAATTATTATCGTAAATATGAAAATGTATGAGGCATGATAAGTGCATCTTGTATTAATCGCAAATAGTGTTAAGGAATTTATTATTCACTAATTGAATTCATTTCATATCTCTTTTTTTCGTTTTATCGTTCCTCTTCTCTTTTGGCATTGAGAAGGCGCAAAAATTTATAATTTCTTTTGGCTTGTATGTTATATACTTTTTTTTTCTTTTATTAAGAGGTATTAATCGATTCGTGATATATGTACTGTACACACTGTATTTGATTTTATATTGGAATATTAAATATTCTTTTTTGTTGATAAATGTTAAAAACACAATTCCAACGACGGAAAGAAATGTGTCGATGTTTTACACTCTATATTTGAAGTTATCCACGATTTATATTATATACATGCTTTGTAGCGTAATTTAAAATTGAAAAAAAAAAATTGAATAGAAAATAAAAGCGATTAAACTCTTTTGGTTATAACAAAATATCAATATTCAAAATTGTAATTAACCAAAAATAAATAAATAAATTGTTCTTTAGACAAAAAATTCTAGGCAAAATTTACGGATATGTAATGGTTTAGTTAAATTATCAATCACTCTAAAATATCAAATCATATAAAGAATTTATTCTATCACAGCTGTTGTCTTGTGTTTTCACTCAAATCATGAATGAAACCATTTATTTTAATTTTTTATGTTGCGCAAATAAACATTGATGATTACAAGAAAAAACACACCGTTTTTCTCTTTTGCATTTGAATTCAGAATTTAATTACTTTTTTCAATTAAAAATTTTCTTATTCAAAAAATGGAAATAAGTTCCATAGACGTAACATAACCGTAGTTTCAAATTCATTTCGTACTAGATTCGACGAACTAGTACCACAGCATGTGTGTCGTATGATGGCGTTGCGATAGCTACATTATCATAAGTCAAAAACGTCGTACATTTTTTTCACTTCAGTCGGACAGAACATTTTAATCCAAAAGAAGAGAAAAATGGGTTTCGGTGATTATCCAGCTGAGTACATCCCAGAAAAGCATGGACCATATGATCCAGCTCGTTACTATGGAAAACGTAAGTATCAATTCAGTGAAATATCGATGAAATTGTAAAAAAAATTGCGGAAAAATTACGCAAATTTTGCTCCTGTGTGCAATTACATAACCAAGTGTCGATCGGTGGACGACGTCATTTTTTCGTAATATTCTTTTGATAACTTTTAATTTTCTGTTCATCAAATTGCATTGTGCGATATTTAATTGCGAAAAACCATATCTATTTCAGCCGATACTCCATTCAGTCAATTGAAATTGAGTGAAGTTCCATCCTGGTTTGGTCGCCGTAACAAAACACCACAAGCTTTTGCTGGTGCCTGCAGTCGGTTGTTCTGGCGTTGGCAACACAAATATTTGCAAACAAAACGTGTTGGTGTCGCACCATTTTTCCAAGTGGTAGCCGCCAGTATGGTGTTTTTCTATGCCATCAACTACAATCGTATCAGTAAGTGATCATTTTATATTAACATTGGAATTGACTCAATGTCACTAATTTTGTTGTTGTTGTTGTCATTTTACAGAGCACCACGCAAACTATAAATACCACTAAGTTAATCCGGCACATCCAGCGTTCGTAGTATTTCCAGTAATATGATGATAAATTTGAATTAACACCAAACTAATATAGATCGAACGAGATCAAACTTACTTCAAACACAGCCATGTTTAAAACTAAATAAATTGGCAACCAATTCAGTGTAATGCTACATCTAATTTCAACTTGAGATGTGATTTAATTTTTGAGTTGTCATACAGACATATGGAAATTTAATAAAAAAAAATCAACAAAAAAAAAAACAAACAAATTCAACTTTAAAGCTAAAAGAACAAATTTGTGTTTTTATTGAAAAACGTACTTCGGATGAAATAAAAAAGTCCATTCGTTTTATTTTCTGGCAAATAGAAATGCTTTATTTAAATACATCAATAATTGTTCTTGGTGATTTTACAATTTAGATTTTGCACTAAAAATGTTATGCATCGAATACAACATAAATCGGTTCACTGCATTTGATTCATATCAATCTTTCCGAAATATAAATTGCTCCAAAAGAGGAAATATACTAATTTTCACATTTTTTTAAAAATAATTTCGCCTAAAAATAGAGTTTTCTGATTTGGTTCTCTTTTTTTTCATTTAAAAGTCCAATACAAGCAAGTCAAGTAAAATATTTTCAAGTGGATCTAAAAACAAACTTAAACTACAAACAAAATTATACAGAACAGATTGCAATTGAACCATTTCTTCTAAATTTACACTAAATATATATATATAAACTCTATGTGGATACTGAGGCCAAAAAGCCAGCAAATATTTATATAATTTTTTTTTCTTGTTGTGCTGTAATCAATTCATTGTGTTTGCGGGTGTAAATTCTTTTGTGGTGACCAAAATTGCGAAAAAAAAAACAAATCGAATCTTATCGCTTAAATTGTCTTTGAAATGTGTACTTAATACAGTTAAATACTACACAATTTGCACTAAATCCATTCTTTGAGAGACAAAATGATACACATTGGCTGGTGTCGTGATGTACTCCAAATGCGTCGATTGATGTGAACCCTGTTCCATAAACTCACACAGCGCCACCATCCTCATTCGATATTTATTTTCGTTTATCAACTAGCTTTATATCACGTACATGGAGATTATGTTTTGATTTGGCCGCAAATTTGATGACAGCTTGAGTTGGAACTTGTGGTACATGGCGTAAATCCAAATATGTAAGCGCTTCACATTTGGCCAAATATTCAAGACACAATTCGGTGACTAGTTTGCAACTACTTAAATCTAATTCAACCAATGTGTTGATAGCACTTTGTGAGCACATAATTTGTGCTACGCCTGCATCGGTAACCCGCTGACATGAGCTGATATTCAAATGAACAAGCGATGGTACACCTTGTGTGATATAGCGCAATGCAACGTCCGAAATGTCGGTGCCGGCCAATTTCAGTACTTTTAAATTGCGCAAACGTGATTTGGAATCGGTGAGACCGGGCCGTGAATCTTTTGGCGGTGATAGAATGTCACGTATGGCACTGTCATTAAGACTGCGTACAAAACTCAAATCGAGCATTTGCAATGGTGGACAAAGGCATGTGTGCAATCCCAAAACAGCACCAATTTGAGTGCCTTGCATTGAAAGATTTTTTAATGCCGGCAAACGTGCAATCAACCAATTCAATTGACGTTTTGCCAAATTAGTCCAGTCAAGTGTTAAATGCTCTGGTTGACGTCGTACAATTGCCATTAAAAGACTTGCCGACAATTTGTGATGTGAACAATTCATTTTTCTCCATAGCTTTGGATCGACCGACACATTTGACCAGGTTTTGCACACAAGCGAACAAGTGATAAGCGTTTCATGTGGTAAGTAACGGAATATTGCTAACAAAGCAGTTGGATCGAGGGTATAGTGTGTGCTACCCGATGACGATGAGGATCCAGATGTCGATGAATTTGTCGACGTATTATTGACCGGTCGAACAACAAACGATGGCTTTCGCAATGATTTTGACGACGAATTGAGTATCTGCTGTGCTAGTTGCGTTCGTAGTGTATTTTTCTTACGCGGAACATGATTTGATGTTGATTCCGTGTGTTCTGTACCACCATCTTGTAAACTACTACAAATACTACCGCCATCATCACTTTTTCGACGCTTGGCCGGCATATCGCCAATGTCATTGTGATTATTTTGTTCAGCCATTTCGCTGTCATCGTTTGGCTCTGGTTTGAATTTACGCTCATGTAATTCTTCTTTTTTAATTGAGTTAGCCGGCGATTTTGGACTTATCGCCTTAATTTTTTTAATATTTGATTTGTTATCCATATCAGAATCACTTAATACTGGTCCATTTTTTTCATCATTTTGTTCAGCATTGGTTTTGCTTTCGTTGCCACTCATTGAAGCGAGTTCACCATTGTTCTTAACTTCAGATGACTTTTGTCGGGCACGGAAATGACGAGGCTAAAATGTACAAAATGAAGATAGACAGCGGGGGTGGGGGAAAGCATGAAAAACAATTAAAAGAGTTGATGGTTAATGAATTGCGTTTTTCTTGTTTTAAAATAAGCTGAGTAATCTGATTAGATATTAATATGGGAAAAAGGAGCGAAAAGGACCTACCTTATAATCAGTATTTTTTCCTGACCGACAACAAAGTAAGCACTCCCATGAATTTGGCAAATCTTCATTAACCACACCATTCACTTGAACTCCATCGCCGCAAGCTTTCTGCGCACATTCCGGATGGGTAATTTCATAACAGACCGAACATTCCATCAACGATGATGGGCCCAATTCTTGTGTTATTTGTGATTTGACTTGAGGCGATGTTACTGGCTGCTTATGCCAACCATCCAAATGGCAAAAAACGCACTGAGCAGTTACAGGTAACATTGGAGACACACATTGTCTCATCATGCATGTCTGCTTTGCTCGACCCGGACCACCGAATTTTATCTAAATCACAATGAGAGAGATGATTCTTTTTTATTTCGTTGAACATTTAAAAATTATGCAAATGAGTTTGCGTTTCACAGTATGAAACCCCTAATTTACAAAAAATATCACAAATTAATTGAAATTTATTGTTATTTTACCATCAAACTGGTTTAATTTAATAAACCACGTTTTATTTATTTTACAAAGAAGCAAAATTGTGACTCACCATATCTAAGCAAAATGCACATTGTCCACATTCGGTTGAATTACATGGTACACAAACTTTGCATCGTCTGCGTCTTCGTCGCGGTGCATTCGACGTATTGCCATTGCTTCGTTCATTGCCATTGGTAGCGTCTGATGAATTTTTCTTGTTGGCACCTTTTGATACCGGTTTATTTGTCGGAATCATTTTTGGTGGTTGAAAACTTTGTGATTCGTCATCTTTATTGTCAATTTTAATATTATTTTTCGGCTCAATATGACTAGCATCATCAACGGATTCTTCATTGGGTAACTGTTGATTCGGTGCATTAGCCGATTGGTTCGAATCTGGATGTAAAACGGGTTTGCCCGTAATTGCCAATTCTGGACTATCTTTACAATGACGTTCAACCAAGCTCCGTACATCTTTGATCAATTGAACCGGATCTTTGATTAATTCGGGCACATTTTTACGTTGTGGCGGCAAATCATACAGATACATAACAATTTCCTTGAGACCAAATAATTCGTAATGTGTTAAATGGATATGTGGTTGATCGACAAGCTCATCTTCACGACTTGCTTCGCCCTCTAAATGCGAACGTCCCAACAATGTATGCACGTATTTTGATAGCACATACCACAACATCTCCGTAAAGAATGGATAACGAAATTTTTGTGGTACTTTTGTTGTATCCTCCACCTTGGCAATTTTCAATTGTTTTAAAATACCAAACGAATGCAAGAAATTCCCACCGAACACCAGCGACTGTGGATTTGTGAATAAATACGTATATGCAAGAAGAAAAAAAATGTGAAAATGAATATAATATTATAATGAGGAGCGAGGGTGGAGTAAAAAGAAACAAATATTGACAAAATAATTACATCGGTTGGTGTGTAGACAGCATGAATCCAACCGGTCGGAATGAAAAATGTATTGCCGGCGGTAAGATAAACTCTGCAACATTTTTCCACTGTATCGCCAAAAAAGACGTCTGACTGTTTACCAGAGAGAACCCATTTCTCATATAATTGTAAATTCTTCTCAGTCGGTGGTATTAACCAAAACACCTTACTCCCACGTGTTATGTGATACCAAACGCTAGTGCCACCAAAATCCACTGATTGATTAAAAAAAAATGACCAAAAAAACAATAAAATATATAATAAAAAATACATTATTATTGATCAAATTCGATCGGACCGAATTTGATGTTGATTTACGACGGTTTTCGATGACTTACCGTGAAAATCAGTGTAGCAATTTTTCACTGACATTAAACAGTATTTTTTCACTTTGGGATACATCATGCCGTCCAATGAATTGGTTGCATCGACTTGAGCCTCTTTCAATTGTCTCGGCCATACAACATCAACCCAATCCAAATTCCGTACAATTGATGGGCTTTGCACATAATTATCAAGTTTTGTGTGCGAAAATTCCAACGATATAACATTCAAGAGACGCGTTTTATGTGGATCTTCGTAATACTGTTGCCATTCCTTCATTGTCATACGCAAATTTTTCTGCGTATTTACATCCATAACATCTAATAAACGCTTTGATCCGACACACATACGCACATCGCTTACTGAAAAATCAGATGATGGTACACGCAAACCCAAGCCAGTTTTCTCTTTGAACAGCAACGGTATGTTAAAGCCATACTGTTGGAAAAATCTACAGCAAAAAAATAAAAAAAGCAACAAACATGTGTTTAATATATAAACAAATTTTTTTTGTGAATTGACAACTGTTACTAATCAAATAAGAAGAAAAGGCAAAAAAATCATCGAATAAAGTAGAAGTTACTTACGAGATCGTCAAGTCATGACCTTTCATCTCACGAACCATATCCACCTGTGCGAATCGTGCTGATTCCAATTTTTCGGCAACACTAAATCCTCGAGCTCCCTCATGATCATCGTCAATTAAGTAGTCTGAATATGCTTTACGTTGTTTACGTTCGCGCTAAACGTGCCAAATTAAGTTCGTGCACATTGTACGCAGCAAATAGAACGAAAAAGGGAATAGAGAAAGAAGAAGAAAGTGAAAATTAAATGAGAAAAGCTAAATGGAAGAGTGCACCGAGTGCAAATCGATAACAATTTGTATTGAATATAATGGATGCGGATGAAATTGCCATCAATGAAAATTAATATGTTTAAGAATTGAGGCAATTTGGTGCGCATAGTTGCCAATTCATTTTAGCTTAAATGGTCACATCGATTGTGTTGTACCATTCGTAAGATTTTCCATTTTAATGTAATCGTCTTCGTGTGCTTCGATGTTTACACTTAACAGAAGACAGCAAGCAACAGTAACAGTAGAAACAACAGCAGCCAACCAACCTTGTGCGCATTTACGGAAAAACAAACAATTTGAAACGAAAACAAAGCAGCGCATATCTATATGAAAATGGAGTGAAGAAAAATAAAAGGAAAATGTGTGCAAAACCCCAACGAAAGAAGAAAGTGTTTGTTATAAGTGTTGCTGTTGCCTTCGCTGCTTATAGCATTATGTACACAAGAGATGAATCACGCCAGTCGAATGGGATACGAGCGCATGAAAATAATATGGAAAATGTGCACGGTGAGCATGTCTCTCCTCTCGTCAAAACAATTAGCGAAAATAATCAAGGTGTCATCGGTAAAATGCATTAGAACATCACGCAAATAAAAATAAATTTTACGATTGTCGATTCAACTATGATTCTTTTTTCTTGTTCGCGCATAAATCATTCGATTTTATTTCTACATAAGAGTTTGAAAACAACTAGATGCAAATCAGATGCCAAACGCTAATATATGGTGAAAAAATAAACAATTGGCTAAGGAAAGAGAGCAAGAGAATAGCGAAGTAAGCACTGAGTCTCTGCGTGGACTGTCGGCAAACATTTGGTATGCCATTGCACCGCAACGATACGATAACATTGAAATAAAAACATATTATTATGCTTTGCTATTATAATATTGTTAAATGGGTTTTTGGATTTGACAGCGCACACCGTGTGTTAATGTGCATGTTTGTATGATGTTGTCGTCGTCGTTGCTATAATAGAGAGAAGAATGCGATATGCTGCATTTAAAAAGTATAACTTCATGATACTCTAATCACTTTGATGACGAATATTGCAGTCATGTGTATCCGTGCACTCACAACGAGCGAGCTAAACATCGTCGTTCTTTTCTAGATAGTATATTCACAGCAAGCTATGCAAACGCATAACGAATACGGCAACCTAAGCCACTGAACATCAATAGAATACACTAACAATAAACCGACTGCTGGTATGATACGTGAGTGACATGTGCTAGAGCAAGAGCACCAAATACATCACTTGTACTATACACAAGAGATGCAATATAAGACATTGATATAGCATCGAATGCCATTCAGATTGAGCGAAGCGTACGGGCAGAGAAACGTTTTTGAAAATGAACAGAAACACAGCATACAGTGTAATAAGGAGAAATAATGCAAAGCGAACAGATATACAATGCGAAAACTTGATGATGACTATGGGGTCGATCTCTCTGTGTTTCAACGATTGCTGCTACTGCTGCTATCATCGTCATTGGTGTTGTTGTCTCCGTTTTTCAGTTCGTGCTCGGTTCGTTCGGCTCAGAAGCAAGCAGCAGCAACACATTTTCAACTTTGGCATCGATGCCGATTCGCACAGCCATTTAGTGTTGATTATGGTTGCTACAAATACACACCGACTCATTCAATTTTACAGCACATTCATGAAAATTCAACGAATTTGCAATATTCTTTTTTCATTTAGCCGAATGCGTTCGCATTTGTGAACAATTTTCGTTATCACTTGTTTTCATTCAAAGGCATGAAAAATTACAATGCAAAACCTATGCTTCATTTTTTTATGAATCCATTGAGAGATGAAGTGCAGAAAATATGGATCTCTCTCTCTCTCTCCTGCGAACCCTTATTGTATTTTATTTTTATAATTGCCATCAGCATTTAATTAATTAAAAAAAAATATATTCAATTGTTTTGACATTTCGAATGGATTCAATCACATTTCGTGATAAGCACCGAAAACATTTTATGACATTTATGGCCTTGAATGTGTTCGTGCATTTGATGAAAAATTGATGGGATCGCATAACGAATGAACGACACAAGTACAAAAGTAATGGCGTCATTTGTATACGAGGAGTACAAGGAGTTCATAAATAGAAACATTTTTGTTGTTGTATGAAACATGCATTGGTGGCTCTTCTAGTCTATTCTTTTTTGTTCTTCCGCAAAAACAAGAACATCAAACTGCAACCGCACCAACATTTTTTTCTATCAAAAGTCAATTCTATTGCCAGTGCTTTTAGCCGTAACGCCTATGCTATGCACACATACAGATATACCATCACTTGTGGCCCTTTGAAGATTTTCTATTTTGCATGATTCCTTCCTAGATCGTCTCTCTCTCTCTCTCTCGTTCCAATGTTCTATTCCACTTAAATTTGTCATTGTAGTGCACACTATCAATTGTATGCTGTTTGCCTCACGTTTTTCTACGGTTTGATTCTCAAAATATGCAACGTGTGCAGAATGTAATGTTTTTTCTTCTATTTTTCTGTTCTTCTCTTGCTCGCTGTCGCCTCTTTGAACAAATCAAAAAGTGAAAATATTTTTGTGGAAACAAATTGAATGAAATGTAAAGTAAAATTGCAAAATAAGCTTATCTCCGTAATAAAATCGGTATTTTTTCACTCTTTTTATTGTGTTACATTTTTTTGTCCTGACTCAGTGGATTTTTTTAGGGAAAATCCACGCAATCATACACAAATATGACATATATGTTTTTTTTTCTCCGACTAGGGAAATGTTAATAGTTTTGAATGATGTGTTTATATACATACCAATTGACGGCGACTATGCTTTGTCGATGGTGATATCTTTTTCCGCTCCGACATCTTCAACAAAAATGGTTCATTTGCCCCCGAAAACCTAACACAATGCAGCACACACTGTGTGTTTGAACGAGAGAAAAAAAAATAGATAGTAACAGATTATTGGTGTAGTTCAGTGTCGCATAAAATTAATGCTTCCGATAAGCAGCGCCTCGAGAAAAATATATTGGCTACTTTGAACCAATTGCTTGCATTCACACACATACACACGCATACATTCAAAAACTCTCACAGACCGTATACCAAATGATTGAAAATGCAACGAAAGTGTAAATGTTCTCAAAAGTATTGCCTCGATTTATTTGACCCCAAATACGGTTGATGAATTACTGTTACTGTAACTGACGCCCAATCAACTAATTGCTTTGTAATTAATTCTGATTTTTATCAATTTACATATACGGAAAATGGCCAACAACATGCACCAGCACAGCACAAATACGACGACAAAATGCACTCTTGAAATATATATTTTTTGTTGTTGAACGGATCGTATTGTTTCTACGCATATCAGCAAAGTAACTACAATATAATTTTATATTGTACTCACAATGCTAATGTTCACAAACACACAAGTTTACAAACTTTTTTTTAATGGTCAATAAACCATTTTAAATCAAATTTGATTTTAATCTCTCTATCCAGTTCAGTAAGTGCTATCGGTGCTGTTGTTTCGTGTTTTTCTTTAGTTCACACTTATTTCCGAGAAAGAAAAAAATAAATTTCTCGTTTTTTTTTTATCGGTGCATTCTGTCAATTCGCCGAACTGCAATTATGAGTGCATTGTTTTTATTCGAATATTGACCACGGGACATTTACTTATTTTTTCAAATCTACTTCTTTTTCAATTACGCGCTGCTCAAATTTGTCTATCATTTTATAAACACATATATTGCTTGTTCGCTTAACATCTTAATCGCAAAGAAGATATGTGTACCATGTACGAAGAGTAATTTTTTACACATAGAATTCTTTATGGGGCGAGGAAATACCGAAAAAAAATATATCACATACACTGTCTATCTCGATGGATTTGGCCTTATTTCATCGACTTATCCACTTAAGTTTGTGGTCTTTTCAGTCTTGGATTTTACTGCTGCGATGCAGTCAGTCTCTCTCTCTCCCTTTTACTTTGCTGTGATTTTCCCAATTCAATTTTCTGCCACTAAATTTTCTCACTTAATAAATTTTCCTCATCAATTTTTTGCAATGTTTTCTTTTTCACTCGTTCGCTCACTTAATGCCGTAATTAAATGGGCTTGTGTTTTTCTATATTTATTATTATTATTGAACATTAGTAAGCGATATTCAAATATTCACACAATGTGCCCGAAGTGTTCTTTGGTAATTTCTACTTTTTCATCCAACGAAAGTTTCAATATTTACGGAAATTGAAAATATGGCCAAAGCACATACGAAGCAACATGAGCGAAAAAAAATAACAATGTCACGCAGAATGTAAATCGCCGTCGTCGGTCTTACAAACATGACTGCTGCAATCATTCTGGCTTATACCGTAAATAAGTGTGGCATCGCCATTATACAACATATACTCACACGGGCTGAAATGAGAAACACACAGCAGCGCACACGAAGAAAATGACGACGACTACGACATATGAAACTTTAAAAAAAATCACTTATTTTTCGTTTTCCATCGCAGTTGCTTATATAGAAACAATCTATGAAGTGCACACGGAAAATTTGAATAAGAAAATCCGAATTTGGACCAAAAAAAATCAACACACAACGTCAATGGGAATAATAAAATATTCAATTTGAATGCGATGAAAAATACGTATATTTTGCTACAACACGAATTCTATGGAGTTTACGCATCCGAACCGTGAATAAAAATGATTTAAACTCCCCGATGCTATGTGCGAACACAACTTTCGGCTTCAGTTGCTGTACCGATACTAAATCGAAACGAAATGCCTTTAAAAAACCATTTGCTAGATACACTGGTCTCGCTCACATTTTTTCTATCGCACGTATGCATGTGTATGTATGTAAGCGTGGAGAGGTGATGCGGTTAGCGTATTCATATGTACTATGTTTGATGTATGCGAGCGTGCGAGTGAGACGAGTGTACTATTTCATTGAAACGACTTTGCCAAACAGTTAAAAGAAGAACAGAGATAAAATTAACACTCCTTCATGGTATTACCCGATATAAACACGCACCTACCGATTCACAACACATTTGATAAAACATTTGTTTTGTCTCTGAGCATTTGCTATGAAAACACATATCGAAAATAATGAACAAAAATACGTTATTCCTTACTGATAACGGAGAAAAAGATGGTCGCATCTGAATGGATTACATTTTTCTTCCGATTTCACCGTACATGATATAAATCAAACAACGAATGAAGCATCTGATATTGATTCATTCAGTTCGTATCCACCTTCGCTCCAAGACATCGAAGAAAAATTGAAACGGGCTCAAAAGATCACGGTATCAGAGGTGGTGAAAAGTATTCAAGAGGAGCCCTTATTGCCAGCAGCCATAATGGAACGTTTCGAAAAACCATGCAAAACTGTCGTCATTTGGCAACCGCCGCAAAAAATTACCGAATATATCATATCAAAGGCAGTGCAAGAACAACAAAACAACGATGATGAAAATGCCGATAATAACAATGTCGAATTTATGGATGCAACAGATACATTCGACTCGCAAATGGATTTGGATAGTTAAGTTTGTATTCATTACAATAATTAGTTGGTAATTTCATACATGAATGTTAACGTTTAAGCCTTCCCTCATAAAACATTGTTGTCACACGACGATTAAAAATCATCAACATTGAAAACGTAAATAAAAGGAAAATTCGGAAGTTTTTTTAATGCAATATAAACGCATTGTATTTTTGTTCGTTATTTTCGATATGTGTTTTCATAGCCAGTACTTTGAAAGAAAACAAATATTTTATCAAATGTTTTGTGAATCGGTAGGTGCGTGTATATATCGGGTAATACCATGAAGGAGTGTTAATTTTATCTCTGTTCTTCTTTGATCTGTATAACAAAGTAATTTCAATGAATTTATACATTCCTTTCACTCGCACGCTCGCATTCTGATGTATAGTACATATTCATGGGCTAGCCGCATCACCTCTCCACGATTGCATACATACACATGCATAAGTGCGATAGAAAAAAAATGTGAGCGAGACCAGTGTATCTAGCAAATGATTTTTTGAAGGCATTTTGTTTCGATTTAGTATCGGTAGAGCAAGCCGAAGGTTGTGTTCGCACATAGTATCGGGGAGGATAAATAATTATTATTCGAAATTTATTTGTTTTATTTGACATTTTTTTAACATTTTATTGGTGAGTAAGAGCCGAAGTGGATTTTTTATTTGTTTATTAAAATCGTCCAAAGTGCGTAAACAATTGAAAACAATTATTTTAATCACAATCAAGGCTGAATAAATTCACAATAATGATTCATAATAGTGACTTCTTCAGATATGTAGAAACGAATGGTTCTTAGAATTAAGCGAAATTAAGTGATTGATTCTTTGAATTCTTTGGATCTTACTACAAAAAACAGCGAAACAACTTTGTCATTTTGTTACTGATTTTTGCGCTGAATTCCTGTTAATTTCAAATTTTAATATATAAACTGTGATTTTTTTTCATCAATAAAAATTTACACATTTTTCATTTCGTAGGTGGATAAAAGACGAAGTGAAAAAAAATTTGTTTATCGACAAACCCGTCTGTGGTGTGTAAACAATTAAAAATTTGCATTGCATCGACATAATTAAGAATTGAATTGAAAAAAGCGAACGAAAAACAAAAAGAAAATATAATCAAAATAAGTTGTGTGTGAGTGTACGTTTTTTACGTTCTTGTCAAAAGTCTCAATTTATTTTGAGTACGCGTTTTTTTCTCTTGCTTTAATATTTAATCTCTGAGTGCGTTTTTACGGT